AGACATAGATGAGAGAAAATTTCAGAACTGGAAGATAAAGCAGTAGGAATTATCCAGAGTGTAGCACAGAGAGTCAAGGAGTTAGAAAACATGAAAGAGATATTAGAAGATACAAGGAGAAGCTCTAACATACGTGGGGCCAATGTAACCTGGGTACCAAAACCAGACAGGGATTGCAAATAAAAGAAAAATTAGAGGCCATCTCACTCGTGAATGTGGATAAAAGAATCTTAAACAAAATAGCGGTAAACCAAATCTATCCATGTATAAAAAAGATAACACATCATACTTAATTGCTTTTTTTCCCAGGAATGAAAAGGTGGTCTAGTTTTAAAAAATCTGTAACTATAATTGCCAGCTAACACAGTAAAGGAGAAAAACTGCATAATCATCTCGATAGATTCAGAAAAACAACTAGAAAAAATTAAATACCTATCGTGCTTTAAAAACGAAAAAAAAAGATTCTTAGCAAACTAAAAAAAACAAAGATATTTCCTTTAACCTGATAAATATCTATCAAAAATCTATTGCAAATACTATTCTAACTAGTGAGATATTAGAAGCATTCATGTAAAAATTAGCTAGACAAAAAAAATCCTAAAATCATTGCTTCTCTTCAACAGTGTACTAGAGGTCTTAACCAATGCAAAGAGATAAGAAAAATAAAAGTTATAAGAATTAGAAAGGAAGACAGAAAGCTATCATTGTTTGCAGATCACATGATTATCTACAAAGAAAACCAAGAAGTTCTGTAAACAAAGTATCAAGGTATTAGAAGTAAAAAGAGTTTAGCAGGATGGTTGATTGTAAAATCAATATACAAGAATCAATTACATTTCTGTCTATCAGCAACAAACCAAATATTTTTTTAAATGCCATTTATAATAACAACAGACAAGAACATACTTGGGAATACATCTTACAAAAAAATCTACAAAACCTGTATGGAGATAATTATAAAACATTACTGAAAGTTGCTAAGAGAAAATGAATAAATGGAGAGAAATACTATATTCATAGATTGGAAGTTCAATAATTATTATAGTTCAATAATAATTCAATAATTATTATTGAACTATAGTTATTATATGTAGTTTAATAGTAATTGGAAGTTCATTAATACCTCAATTTTCTGTAAACTAATTATAGATTCAGTAAAATGCCATTCAAAAGCCCTATAGTTTTTTGAGGAATTTGATAAATCAATTCTATAAATTTATGGAAGAACAAAGAACTGAGATTAATGAAGATACTCCTGAAGAAAATGATGGCCTAGGATTGTTGGAGGTTCTCATTTTGCCAGGTAGCAAGACTTATCATAGTAATGAAAACAGGGTAATACTGGTGCAGGGATACACTAGTAGACCAAAGGAGTATAATGGAGAGCCTAGGGGCATTTATTTAGACAGCCTAGATTAATGGCAGAGGCATATTATGGATCAGACTGAGACTCATAAATAAGTGGGAGTGGGATAATTAGGTATTCATGTGGATTAAAATAAAAATGATTTTTTGTGATGGCATAGGTAGAGATCTAATTCCAGGTGGATTACTGAAATATGAATAAGAAAATTTTTTAAACTTTAGGAGTAAATGTAAGACTTTATAACTTGGAGGTATAGAAGGATTTTTTAACTAAGATACACAGAGAATCAATTCTATATGAATAGATTGATAAATTGTACTATATTGAACCTAAGAACTTATGTTCATCA